TTGCCAACAAACATAGCTGATTTGAAGTTAGCAGAGCCCTGAGATGGAAGGAGCCTGTCTCCCTAAATCACTGTTAGTGGAGATCTCCTCACTCCTCAGGAAAACCCAGAATGTAAGAAAGAAGTACATTAATATAGAATTTAAGCTTTTATACCTTCTTTGAAATATTTAGTGCAGCAACTAGCATTATTTACCTAACTCAGACGGATGCACTATATTTCAAAACAAACAGACTGAACATCCTAAAGATATCAGTACTCTGCAAGTTGATCCACAGATTTGATACACTTCCAGTGGAAATCCCAGCAGAGCTTTTCCTGAAAGTTTGGCAAGCTGGTTCTAAAATTTATGAAGAACACCCAAGGGCCAAGAATAGTAAGACATTTTTGAAGACAAAGAGAACAGGATGGAAGGAAATTGCTCCCTCAGATATGAAAGCTAATTATAATGCTATAGCTCAAACTAATTACTAAAGGAGGAAATACAAGTTAAAACCACAGTGATTTTGTACTCACAGATGGCAAAAAGGGAAATGTTTATATTATTAAATCATTGTGAGGATGTAGGGCAATTAGAATTTTTATACACTTCTGGTAGAGAGAGTAGCAATATAATATAATCCCTTTGGAAAATGTAGTTGGCAATATCTAATAAATTTGAAAATGCCATCACATCTTTGACCCAGCATCTCTACTGTCTTATACATATTTATTAGATAACATGGAAAACAATATCAGTAGAAGAATTTTGGAGTGGCATGTAGTTGGAAATAGCACAGATGTCCACCAACAGTAGAATGGATAAAAATCATTGTGTGTTAATTAAATGGTGTTATGATACAGCAGTGAAAATGGACTTCAGGATGGATTAAAATAACAGATATAAATTTGAATGATAAAAAAATGCAATTTGCCCCAAAATAGATAAGATCTACCAAAAGTTTAAAATATAAAAGTTTTGTCATACTTAGGTATATTAGATATGGGGCAAAATTAGAAATGAATGCAAGCAAGTGATAAGTGTAGATGTCAGGGGAATGATGACCTCTTGCCCATTGGGCAAAAGGACTCCCTAGGAGAATTACGTGGACCTTCCATGTTGGCTTTCCTCCAGTTATTTAACTGGTGAGTGGTACAGGGAGTTTTATTCTCATGCTTTATAACTTGTATACATGTCACATTGTTTTATAAATAGACTTTATGTATATAAAGTATATATACTTGTTATCGTTCTCTTTTTAGTTTCTCTCTCTCTCGCTATATCTATCTATATATATATATAGATATATAGATATAGATATATATCTAGATAGATAGATAGATATAGTATTTCCTAACTTAAAAATAAAAATAATTATCAGCTCCAACAATATTCTGTTGCCAAGAAATTATTAGCTGTACTTAGTGACAGTTTTTCCCATCAGTGTGCTTAACATGGGCTACTGCTTCTCCTTTAAATACCTTCTACCTCCTCATCAATTTACCTGTACAAGGTTCCCTTAGAGCCTGGTTCAAGTCTCAGCTCATACAAGTACCCATGACCTTCCTAGACCTCATGCTTATTATATCTTATTGAAACCTTCCTAGACCTCATGTTTATTATATCTTATTGAAACCCATATGAGCAGTTATCTCTTCTTTTTTTTTCTCACTAAGCACAAGTTGAAAATCTGTTACAAATGCTGTAAGGTACAAAATGAATAGATAAAATGTCTTTTCTTAAGGAGCTAGATTTACTCACACCCAATTGATGGTACTCCTACTAGGGATGTAATTGTGGAATATAAGCAGTGTTAGAGATCCTTATAAGAGAGGAATTGGTTCTGTGATTCAAGAAAATCTTCAAAGAGCCTCAAAGAATTTTTCCAGTTTGCCTTTGTGCATGCAAATAATCCCTTTTTTGCCCACCTTCTGCTAAATACTCTGAGCATTTCAGTTGAATCTCTATACCCCATAAAGAACAGGCCATTGTTATGAAGGATTCATCCACACATACCTTAGCCTCTCTCTAACTTGATGGAAATCACCTATTGTTTCCTATTTAGAGGATGGACAGACGTATCTGAAGGACATTGAATCAATTTTGGTTGTTGGCAGACAGGATGAACAGATTCCATTTTACCCTTGTCTAGACTTGGGTAAAAAAAAAAGTGCCCTAAAAATGCCACATAAATATTATTTTGGAATGTTATGTCTCCATGAATCATCTGGCTTAATTAGACTGGTCATTTTGTGTCCATATTTATGTGACTGAGAGAACCAATATCTGACAGATTTTCTGACCTAGAGCGAAACTTCTGGGAACAAGCTCATACTTTTTGGACCCAGCTCCAGCAAGCCACAGTGCTAATTTTTCTGTTTCTCAATGATGCAGTCATGGCTACAGATTTGGAAGTATCTTAAAACCTTCTCATTTATTAAAGTCTTTGGATACTTAATGATTGTAAGCTTTTAGCTTAATTTAAGCCATGTTTAATAATAGAAATTTAATAGAGACAAGGAGAATCTGCAGTCTGGTTCTCTAGAGATCCTTCTTGAAAGCCTACTTTTGCTAGTAGAATGTGAGGGGAAAAAAAACAGGGGTCTATTTTCTTATTTCTTAGACTGATCCCTTTAAGATATAAGTCAGGCCATAGCATCATACATCTTTCCCTTAATCCTACAGTAACTCTTAGAAGAAAAATCCAAAGTTCTTTCTGTGGCTTACAAACCCACTCCAGAATCTGCCCTCACTTCCTGCATCTCTCCCTCTCCCACATTATGACCCAGCCACACTGGCCTTCTTCCCAGGCCTTGAACTTACCAATGCACGTTCCCATCTCAGAGCTTTCCTCCTGACAGAATCACTATTTACAGAACTCTCTCTGATCCCACTCAGATTTCTGCTCAAACCTGCTCAAATGCTTTCTCCTTAGTGTGGTTTTTCTTGGTCACCTTATTTCAGATACAATTCATATTGCTCTCTGTGCCTAATTCTGCTGTATGTTTCTTTATAGCATATGTCACCATCTGACATTCTATGATCATCATAGCATTATATTTATAAGCTTGTTTTCTTTCTCTTTTTCTTAATATAAACTCTGCCAGAACTCTTTCTTTATCCTGGTACTTGGTATATGGTGATGCTCAATGAATGTTTATTAAACAAAAAAATTAAGTAACTTACTTTTCATTGCCCAGATGGGATGGGGTAAAGAAAAGGTGGAGGCTTGTTTTAGAATCCATGGTGGTGTGAGACAGAGGGAGCTTGATTTTTATAGAAAACATACAGAATTTGACAGAAGATGTAGTCTTCTCTATTAGGCATGTAACTTTGGGTAGGTCTGAATGTCCGTTTCTTCTCACCAAATGAATTAAACCAAAGTTGATATGATTTAAGAAGATAAAGAAAGTGATGAGTTCATAAATACTAAAAAAATTATGTAGTGATTACCACCTATGGCTCAATATGCAAATATGATAAGAGCAGAACCAGCAATTTAAAATATACCACCTTAGAGCCAGAAAACTTCTTTTAAATAGCTATTAAATATTCAGTCATTCTTTTTTTTTATAAAAGAAACCACATACATACTTTTTGTTTAGATCATAAAAATTTTATTTTTAAGTTTAGAGTGATGAAAACTTTTCTTAAGCAGAAGCTAAAGGGAAATTAAATGCAATTAAAAAATGAGTTGAGAAGCAGTTATAAACCAATAAAATATAATATTTCCACCTATTTGTGCATACAAATGCAGCTATAAATGTTGCTTTTTTATCTCTTAAATTTCAGTCTTTATAAAATTAGCTACAATTTTCATATTGGTTTCTTCTCTGAGGAGTAAGTAGATGTGCTGATCTCATCTGGTTACAGGTTTTAATTCTATAATATCCCCAGTTATCTCCTACATATAATCTTTGTGAACTGTTCTGTGTGGATAAAAGAAAACAGTAAAAGCCTACTTTGAATTATGTTATGTAGATTCCCTTTTCCCAGTAAGGAAATTCTTGCTATTGTGGGATAATAACAAAGCGTGTGTGTGTAAGATGGTAACTTTCTAAGAAATTTAAGGTAAAATAAAGATTTTAAATATTTGAATAAGTAATGGGACATGGATTTTATAACTCACTGGCTTACACCTTTTTAGGTGAAGGCTGATTTTGATATGCTAACTTTGTTTATTTAATTCTTTAGAAAAGATTAATGCCATATTGTTGAGATCATCCATGTATAATGAAGTTGTTAAAATGTGCATGTTACAGTCCAGGAACAATTTCTGTGCTGTTTACTTGAGGGAACTGGAACATGGTTTTGTTAAAATAGTATCTGTATATATTAGAGATGAAAACTATGTGCTAAATACCCCTACACAGGTCTAACCAACTGTTTGTTGTACAGGACGTGTTTGGTTTCAGTTACTTACACTGCCTCAATTCAGTGACAGGGCCTCTACAGCTCCAGCTTTCTTCCCTGTCTATTCTGTGCACAGAGTTAATTGAGCAGAAGCTAAGAGAGGTGGGAGAGCCCATTTTGAGAAGACAGAGAAGGGGGGGTACTGATTCTTTACCCTGGGAGAGTCCCTCCTTCCCTCTCAGGGACGTTCTCAGAGTCATGGCCCAGCAATCTCTCTCCAACCCTATTCCCCCAACTGTTTGTATTTCCATGATGGAGCTTTCTGCACCCAGAGTTGTATCACTTCCCCTTTCTCATTTCTTCCCACTGAATACCACCATCATATTTAAATTTGCTTTTGGCACTGCTTGTTGGGAGCATATTACCAAAATTGAATTATCTTCTAAGGGTGATGAGAGTAGAGGTGCTTGCAACTAGATTTATATCTGATCCTGCAAAGAAATATGTAACACAGAGAGAGAAGAGACAGAGACTATGTGTGTGGTGTGTGCGTGCATGTGTGCACATAGGAAAGGGTGGGAGTGTAGAAAGATTTAGGAAGTTACTGGCAGACTTAAAGAGGAGCATAAGTTTTATAATCTCTGACATTTTCTTTGATTCCTTTCCAGGTTGACTTTGGATTTGCTAAAAAAATAGGTTCTGGACAGAAAACATGGACATTCTGTGGGACTCCAGAATATGTAGCTCCTGAGGTCATTCTCAACAAAGGGCATGACTTCAGTGTGGACTTTTGGTCCCTGGGAATTCTAGTGTATGAGCTCCTAACGGGCAAGTAAGTGTATACCTTCCAGTTTTATTTAGACACTTTATTTTAGAGAAATGCCAGAGTAACTCACTAATGATAATAATTTATAATTCAGGAGTTTAAAATATTTATGAAACATCTTAATTAAGTATGTTGCCTTTTTCTCTTTATATTGTTTCAAATACAGTGAGGTTGTAAGCTTAAAGCATGCCAGAAAAGATTCAGGAAGTTGAAAGAAAGGAGTATAGAATTGCTATGTTTTACCTAAAATGTCAAGGTACCTTATTGAAGATAACATTAAATATGGGAGGGCTTTCTTTGATGATCCAGCGTTAGACTAAAAGAAGGAATGAATGTTTGTAATGAAAGTTTTGAGTGATTGTTATCATTTCCTCTTTTTAAAATTTGTTAAGAAGCTATTTTCCTAATTCAATTAAATTCATTGATCAAACAAACTAAATTTAGCCATATTCTTCCATCTTCCCAACATATCATTAACAAGAAATGCTAAGAGAAAGCCATACTGCTGGATTTAAATTCTCATCCTCTTGCCAACTCCTTTCTAGAGGTGTTAATGAACACAGACAAGACGCATCAGGGGTTTTAGCAGTTAAAATTGCATTGTAATTTCCAAAGAGATTAAAATACTATATTAATGAATTCAGGGTCCCAAATATTTAACACACATACACACATACAGACACATGCACATGCACATACATCATAGAATCTATGTGATATTTGCTCACATTTGTAAAATGCTTCACAGTTTACAAAGCACTTATGTAAGCATTATCTAGTTTAGTCTTCATAAATTGGTATGGAAGATAAGGCAGGAATTTTTATTATTATTTTATGATTCAAGTTTTATTATGATTATTTTATGATTTGAATTTTATAGATTAGAAAACCAAGTGAGAAAGCTACCTGCTGAAGATCAGTAATTTAATCTCAAGTCTTCTGGTTCTAAATGAGGTGCACTTTTTGTCACACATGTGGCATTGTATCTATTTATGATGTAACATGTGGACACACACAGAATTCAAATCAGTTTTCTACCTCCTTTTCTCATTAACTGATTGTATTATCCTTATAACAATTTATAACCAAACATTTCTCAATCTTAATTTCAGAGAGGATTCACATATGGAATGATTTAAGAAATACTGGGGTAGGCCTATTGGGGGGTGGGATAGAAGTCTCAAACACTTATTTGAGAAAGAGAGCTTAGTGGAATCACAGAACCTTCTTGAATTTTTTTTTCCTGTGCTGTTGGACCACTGCTCTACCAATGAGCTATCCCTGCAGCTCTTCTTGAAATTTTTATACTATAAGCTTCAATATTAGCTTACCTGTGTCTACATTCAGCATTTTCTTTGAACATACTGGGCAAACAGATATGAAAAATGGTTTTATATTATCAGTAATCATTTTCAAATACTCATTGCTTTCAATTCTGAAGGAAAGAGGGGAAATTTTCCAGGGAGTCATTCAGAGAAGAACATTGTTTAAGGTTTGGGGCATAAGGAATTTTATTTCAAGAGTTTGTTTCACCATCTTAGAAGTTTCAGCTGTATTTCTGAGAGATACAAGATGGTACCTGTAGGTGACTGGAGATATACATTTCAATCTTCATCATTAGAATAAATTGTTACAAGAAATAGGGAAATAAAGTGAGAAAACAAGGAAGGAGAGAAATCCCACCACCTTGGAACTGCTTAAGTGGCCATGAACTGTCATGAACAAGTTGGGGAATTATTTTTGCAAACGTTTTTAGGGTAAGGCAAGAGAAAAGTAAATTTCAAATGCCCTGAAAAGAGAGGCAGGAGGTAAGCGAAAATGAAAAACATCTAAAGAATAAGACAAAACAAAATAATATAGTTGTAAATGTATGTATCTGTGTGTGTGTGTGTGTGTTTTGTGTGTGTGTGTGTGTGTTTAAATATCTTACTAATGTTTTTTTTTTGTTGTTGTTTTCTGTCTCCTTCTCTTTACAAGTGAAACCTAGATTGTTAAAAAAAAAAAAAAAAAAAAAAAACCTGGTACACCACCTTTGTTTCAAGTTTATTACCAAGGGTGGGGAACTCTCAGTATCAAAAGTTCTCCAGCATGGCTAAAATACAGCAGAGTAGCAGAAATCATCTTTAATTTTAAAAATTTAAATGGCATAACAGAATAGACATGAAATTATTTTTTAAGAGCAAAGTGGACTGTGAAATGTTATCTAACGTCAGTGATCAGTTCTCAATTGTTTTTTCACTCATCTCAGCTGTAACTTTCCTTGAAATATTTCCTGCACAAGGATTCTAGGACCTTCCTCTTTCTCCTTATCCCACACTGGTGGCTTCTTCTCAGTCTCTATGGCTGGACACCTCCAATCTTTCCAACATCTCAACATTGGACCTTTTTAGCCCTCAACCTTTCTTTTATCTACCACTCCCTATGTGACATCATTACGTTCCATGGCCATAAATGCTATCTGATGACCACAAATCATACTTTCATCCCTAACTTCTTTCCTGAATACTAGACTCATAAATCCAACTGCCTGCTTAGCATCTCCATGTGGATGTTCAAAATTTAACCTTTGGTTCCTTTCCTCATAACTTGCTCTGCACCCTCACTGTGTTAGTCAGTTTTCCATTGCTATGACAAAATACCTGAATAAACAACTTACAAGGAAGAAAAGTTTCTTTTGGCTCAGGTTTTCAGAGGCTTCAATTTAGGCACACTTGGACCTGTTATTCTGGCATGTGGTGACACAATACATCATAGCAGGTACATGTAGTTAAGGAGGCCTATTCACATCACGGGTTCTAGTAAGCTAAGAAAAAAGAAACCAGCATTTCAATATCCCTTCCAAGAGCATGCCCCCAGTGACCTCACTTCTTTCCAAAAGGCCCCACCTTTTAGAGTTTCCACCACCTTCCAATTGCACTACAGGCCGACAACTAATCCTTTAACACACAAGCCTTTGGGAGTGCATTTCGGTTCCAAATTACCAACTACCACCACAGCCTTTCTTCTTTTCGTGATCACAGCTCCATTTTATAGACATTTAAACCAAAATACTTCAATATCATTTTTGAATCCTTCTTTTCCTCCCACTCACCACCTTCATATTAGCAAATCTTATTGTCTTTACCACCTGTCTTAGTTCAGGCTGTTATAACAAGACACCATAAACTAGGTGGCTTAAACAGAAAACATGCATTTTTTATTGTTTTAGAGGTCTAAATTACCAGATCAGCATGCCGGCATGACAGAATTCTGATAAGGACTCTCTTAATGGGTATAGATTTCCAATTTCTCCTTTGATCCTGATATGGTGAGAAGATGGCCAGCCAGCATTCTGTCCTCCTCTTAGAAGGGCACTAATCTCATTTGTGAAGGCTCCACCCTTATGATTTAACTACTTCCATAGGCCCCACCTCCAACTACCATCACCTCGTAATTAGGGTTTCAACATATGAAATTTTGGGGTGGTCACAGACACTCAGTTTATTTTATAGTCTAGATAGATCCAGAATCCAACCAGGTCTCACACCTTCAATACCATTGTCCTCTGCCAGGATAGCAGGCCTTCTTATTGACCCCACCCAAACCCCATCATAGTTTATTCTCTGTGCATTGAAGAAAGCTAATTTCTTCATTAAATCACCAAATATATACATTTCCAGATCCTTACCATAGCCCAGTGGATCTACATGATGTTGCCTTCATCTCTTGCATTCCTTAGCTGTTGACTCATGCCACCAGCCACACTGCCCACCTCACACCTCCAGAACACCCAGGCCTACTCCCGACACACGATCTTTGTTCTTCCTGTCTTAGAGCCTTCTGCCCACAGATTACAGTGTAGCTCATCCACTTCCTCTCTTCACTCATATTTCAGCTCAGGAGAGAGGCTTTTCCTATTCACTCTGTCTTAAAAAAAAAAAATAGCATCATCTCTCTCTCTCTCTCTCCTTTCCTTTAGGTTTTTTGTTTGTTTGTTTTTTAAGGATCATCACTAACTGACAGATTACGTGTGTGTGTGTGTGTGTGTGTGTGTGTGTGTGTGTGATTTAAATGATGTGAAATTAGTGAAATGATTTTCTAGCACATATACAAATATGTGCTATAAAATGACTAGGGGGACAGGGGAAGAGAGAGAGAGAGAGAGGAGGGAAGGAAGGAAAGAATGGAGGGAGGGAAGAAAAAAAGTAAGAGAGAAAGAAAGAAAAAAGAAGCCCTGGACTCTGGTCTTAGTGTGTCCTATTTTGGATTTTCCCTAGCCCACCCTTTTCTGGGGTTGATCAAATGATGACCTACAATTTGATTCTCAAAGGAATTGAAAAAATGGATTTTCCCAGAAAAATAACAAGAAGACCTGAAGATTTAATTCGTAGGCTTTGCAGGTGAGAGTGACCATAAGTATAACCCCTTGTTTTGGATTAAGTGTGAAGGCTTTCAGGTTCTCTCTTTATACATTTTTAAATTAGGTATACACTTACTTTTTAAAAATGTTGCTAATTACATTTAAAGAATTTTTTTTTCTGTTATGAAAACTAAGTTAGGAGTTTTGAATTTACCTCATGTGCTGTAGAATCCAGTAGCAATGTATACTTTAAAAAGATCCAAATTTCACAGATTATCTTCAGAAATCATCTTCATCTGTTACAGGGCAAAATAGAATCACAAACCTTGGGTTAAAAATAAAATTATTTATTTATAACCTGGTTGTTTTGAGAGAAAATTAGTAGTGTTGATGCCTTTTTTTCAACTTTTAATTTTTAAAAGGCATTCTTCTGATCTTACTTTAAATTACCCCGATTTTTTCTACTTAATACTAAAATCATTTATCAGAAATAGAGGGCTTCCAGCTTTTTTTGGTTAAGTTCCACTTTGTTGCTACTTTCTTTCTTTTTGTTTTGTGCACTTGAACTTTTTTTGAATCATTAAAATTTAGTAAATTTAGAACATGAAACCTAGCTGTGCTGGCCAGCAGGAATTCCTGCCTGTTTCTAAGAAGATTCCAGCTTCGATGTAAATGATTCTCTGGAGCTTTCCCTGGTTTTCTCAGTTGAGTTGGCAAGATAGTACTTACTAAGTGTTTATTTATAGCTCCGTTAAAGAATTCATACAAATACATTCCTAACTAGTTCAACTGTGCCTCTTCCAGGAGGGCCACGTCTTTTTCATCTCCCTAAACTCAGGTGTCTGACCTACAGTAGGAACTTGATGGATACTGCTGAATGAATGAATGAATGAGACTCACTCAAGTATCATTACTGTAAATTCTCTTTTTTTAAAAAAATGTGCTTTCAGGCAAAATCCAACAGAAAGACTGGGAAATCTGAAGAATGGAATCAATGACATTAAGAAACACAGGTCAGTAGTTACTTTTTTGCCCAGAATAATATAGAAATTATGGGAATTTCTATATTGTGTAGATTTTCCATTTTTCCTGTGTGTGTGTGTGTGTGTGTGTGTGTGCAAGCGCGTGCGTGTGCAAACTTGGGGGGGTTGGTTTTGTTTTGTTTTTCCTCCTTTGTTTTGGGTGTGGTCAACCCAATCAATCTCAAGGAGATTTTTATACTGTTGGAAATTCATATTGAGAATAGATGAAGTTATAAAACAAGTAACAAAATCACATCTTCAGGTCATAGAAACTTAGCTTTTTACTCACTATTTTCATTGCTTTTTATGATGAACTTGGAGTCTATAAGGAAATTAAGTTCTGTTTTCAACACTGACTTTAAATAAAATAGACTATAATCATTACTGTCAATATTCAGGAGAAAGTGTTAGCTAAGTAGGTAGTAAAATAGCACCAACTTATGATGTTTTAACTTTATGATTGTGCAAAGTAACACACAGTCTGTAGAAGCCATATGATGAGTTTTGAATTTTGATCTTTTCTGGGGTTACAGATATGTGGTGTAATACACTCTAGTGATTTCTTGCAGCTGCCAGGCACAGCTCCTGGACAGTCACGTGATTATGAGGGCAAACAACCAATACTCCTTAAGGGACTGTGTTGGTAAGCTATAATGTTAAGTAGGGTAGGTATATTTTAATTTAGGATATTTTCAGGTTATAAAGGGCTTATTAATATGTAACTTCATAATATTTCATCTTATTCTCTTTCAGTTTTAATATGTTTAAATATAATTTTCCTTAGAATATTTCTCCAAATTCTCAAGTCTCATGTTGATTTTATTTATTTTGGTGAAGAACATAGATTTATGCAGAACTTCAAGCATCGAGTTCTCCTTGTGCTGTAATTTAACATGCAGTTAGATTTTTCAGTTCTATGAGTTTCTAAAAATGGTCTTCAGCGCCATTGATAACTTCCTTAAGACATCCTCTCTGATTTGATTAAATATTCAAATGTGGCCCTTCAAACCTGGAGGATTTCTGTTTATTCAGTCAGTACCTGTCTGTGTCCTGCAATCTTCAAGATGTTTTTACTTTGCTTATTATTTATAGATAGAAAATATCACTTATAAAAAAACATTGATAGGACTAAAATAATTTTGAGAATTTCATTAATTGAAAACCTTTGAATCCACTGATGCGGTCGCTGTTAGAAATGAAAACGACTCTCAATAATTTATTACTCTGTGGATTTTCCTTTCTTTTTCTTTTCTTCTTTTCATGCTGGGGATCGAACCCAGGGCCTTGTGCATGCGAAGCACACACTCCCCTACTGAGCTACACCCCCAGCCTTCTATAGAAATTTTCACTGAAGAGCTGGGGACACATCAAAACAGTGTGAAAATAAAAGGAGAGACATGGCTACCGATAAATAGAAACACTATTCATTTTCCTAAACAGTAGTAGTACAGCTTAAAAAAAAAATCCCCAAGCTGCCAGCCCTGCTCTATGTATTCATGAACTTACTTGAAATAAAGCCATGTATTCAGCATTCTAAACTCATATCAAGCTCTGCCTTAAGGAGGAAAGAGGGGAAGGAGAAAAAGCAGAAGGAGGGAGAAATAAGACAGATAAATCTGCGGATTTTATAGACATCAAAATGCTTGTAGTATTTTCATGTTCTTTCTTGTCCTTTGGATTGCCTTCAGTTGTAAAGCTCATTATTTAATCTTAGATTCCAATTTATCTTCTCCCTGCATTCCATGCTATTCTCACAGTTTCTTTTCTCATTATAAAATGACACATCAACACACCATTCACATGGCAGAAACAAGTGTCCTGTCAATTAAAGTGATTCTTTCAATATATTTTCTCCCTTTCTCTCATTAAAATGTCTTCAGGTTTGGCTCTGGGGTAATTGAGAACCAGAAATGATATAATTGTTAACTGCCTGCAGCTCTATCTTTTACTTATTTCCCCAAGTCCATTTAAATGTAGCTGCCAAATTGTGATTGGATGCACATGGAAGTTGATGGTAAAGAACTTCCTCCCCTGGGCATCTTAATAAAGAATTCTGAATTTTATTCCCTGTGGGGAATAATTTGCCTCTTTTTCCTAAGAGGCAAGGTGGTCTTTGCTGTGGGTAGATGTGAAGAAGTCAGAGTATAATGTGTAGAAAAGAGTTGACTAAAAAGATACACCAGGCTTACACAGTGCCTTCTGGTGAGAGCTCAAAACCATGATTCATTCTATATTTCTGTTTTCATTGAAAGTTTGGTGGGGGTGGGGGGGAGACCTCCATATTTTTCACCAAACAGAAGTGTTTTTCAACCTTCCCCAAGTCTCCAAGGTATATAGCTTTACTCACCAGCATATTCTTAGAATATTAAGGAAAAAAAAAAAAGTCTGGCATTAGATTTTCCCTTTCTCTAAAGTAAAATCTTCAATGCTCTTAGAGACCTATTCATGTAAGCATTTCATTTAAACACAATAGAGTTAAACATGGAATATTGTTATATGGATTTATTCATTCTGTGTTTAATTATCTTTTCCTAAAAAATTATTATAGAGCTCCTCTTTCCCATATTTATGAGCTAACTTATAAACGAGGCATCAATCACATCTCCCAACACCTATTTTTAAAAGAAGAATAATAGACTTGTAGGGTACTATTAAATTTTTTCTGATAAGAAGAGGAATAATTTGTTTCAAGTATTTTAAACATTGGTTTTACTTTTAAGAATAGCTTCTACAAGCCTTCTGAAAACAAAGAAGCAATTTATGTGCTCTTAATGCCAATATTTCCTTGGTGAATGTTTTTCACCCATGAGTACATGCTGGCATTTGCATTACTTAAAATGTGGTTAATATCAAAAGGCTAAGTATGAAGTGAATGTCCACTCATGTTAAGTAAACATTACCATAAGTCAAGTTGTAGCAAGTACTCTGTAAAAAACGTACAGTCTCTTTGATTGAGTAATGGTAATGATACAGTCTGAGTAGAATAATGGTAATGATTTTTATTAATGTTTGTGGAATACTTCTGGGTAGAGAGAATTAAAATACGTTAAATGTATTGTTACTGTATTTGGTGGCAAACGAAAACAATCTACAGAACTATGTACCCAGAAATCTCTAAAAATGGAGCCTCTGTCTGTGGGAAGCAGTGAAGGGTGGATCCAGGAGAGAAATGTGGTTTCTGTTCAGAATTGCAGGGCAGTGGAGGGCGATGGAACTCCTGGTGATGCTGCCTGGATCTCAGTCTTTGGCTAGAGTTCCAGCAGCTTCTACTAAAATGGCACTTTGGTTTAGGAATGGCATCTGAAATGGAATGTACTAGCACTTGCCCTCTCTGTTTTTAGTTCCTACTCTTTTGCTAAACTTAGGCTTGGATTAGGAAATGTAGTCAAGGACTGAACCAGAATCAACTCTGGGGTCCAGAGAGACTGAGAAAGGTAGAAGCACTGACTTGGCTGATAGAAGAATATGACAGCCTCCTAAGAATCACCTTGCCTTCCATCTCACCTCACCACACCATCACCGCCTGACCATCCTGGTCCCCTGTGGTTATTCCCTACGTAGCCAGAATTGTCTTTTGAAAACTCGATTGCATCATTTTCTTACAACTTTGTAATGGCTTCTCATCACACTGAAAAATCAATTTCTTATTGTGCCCTAAAACACACTAATATGATCTGGCCTCTGGTTATTTCTCAATACCTTTTTTAATCTTTTTTTAGTTTTCTCTGCTCTCACCACATTTCAGTTCATTTCTGCCACTTCCTTCCATCTGGAAGGCCCTTGCCACAGATGTTCTTGTGGCTTCTTCACCCTTCTCTTCATTCTGGCCTTAATTCTAATAATGCTTTTTAAATACCACCCCAGGTAAAATCCTCTCCTCCTATTATTTCCTTTCCAGCCATCATTTGTTGCTGAAAGCTCGGTCCTTGTCCCCAGTGCCAATCCAAAATAAGGATATGGTTCTGAAAAAAAATGAAAAAGAAGGTTTATTGCTTTGTTAGTAAAGGAGAAACACAGGGGACTCCTGTCCCAAAGTCTGTGATTCTGCTCAACAGCAGGAACAGAGGACTTTTAAAGAGGTGATTCAAAGGCTACATTCCATTCCATGTGTTCTCTGTTGGAGTTATACTTCATTTGTTAATTTTGGAGACAGTCATTTCTGACATCTTCTGGTACCATCCCCAAAGTCTGGATTACTTCATTCCTATGGTGAGTGTGTACCCAAGGACAGATTAACTCTGTCTAGGAGGGGGAAGAAAGGTAACCCTGTTGCCCCAGAGATTAGGGAAGGGGAGAGACTAGGGAGGAGCAGGGAGAGAGGAAGTGAAAGAAACGTCCATTTAAAAAATGCTCTGCAGTGGCAGAGCAACAAGGGTTTTATTCAAAGCATAAAGTGGACCACTGTTACATTTCCCCACTGTCAATTTCTACATTCCATTTCTGTGGAAAAATGGGAGAGCACATCTCCAAACTGCTTCCTGCTGAAAGGGGGCAAAGTTGGGGTAAGTAACCCAAAGTACTTATTCTGTATCAGGTTGGCCGTGGACAGTTAAGGGCATTCAGCATCAGAGCAGTCCAGAGTTCCACAGTGGCAGATGGTAGGTAACTGGACATAGGGTAGAGATCATGCTAAGACACCAATAAACAATACAGCAAAGTATTACTTTTTTGTAAATAATTAGCACAAAAATACTTAGTATTTCAGCAAGTCTCTGAAAACCATGAGGATGGTATCACAATCTTATCAGTGAAAAGCAGATCAAGTTCATCAATGTAGGAGGTTAGGAAGATTTGTGGGTCTATGAAATCAGACTCAAATTAACTCAGGACAACTTTGCAACTCTTGTGATCATTATTATTAGGCACTGTCACACAAGAACCCTTTCTTTATAGCCTCCAGATTTACTTACTTTTGGTAGAGCTGACATAAGAGTACATCTTAAGTTACATTTTTAAAAAAAACAAAACATTGTTTTTCCTTTTAAATGTCC